CTATTATTACCATTTATTAAAAGCATCTTAATATAGCCCATCACTCAATAAGTCTCCAGTCTGACACATATATGGCATCGCTGTTGATACACTTACATGATTTGGTGGTTAGTACTAATCTTCAAAGTTTACTTTCAAAAATTCATGACATTCTGACAATGAGTACACAAATTACATTTTCGGTTTAATGAAAGTTCTCTTGTAATTTTCAAAACAGTAGAAAAATCCGATTTTCATTTGTTGTTGTTCAAGCATTGGCTTGACAGATGTTACGGCGACCCTTGGCTCTCGAAACTATAAATTTGTGGATGGTTTGCTAATTTTAAGCACGATCGTACGAACACCGATAGTGTTCAGTGCTCTTGCTGCAGAAAGCATGAAGAAAGTGCACAAATTGTTATGGAAGAGGCAAAAGTCAAGTTTTATGAGATAGCTAAATGCAGTCTTTGTATTCCCCTATTTTGCATGAGTATGCATGAGCAAAGTCGAATTGGCAGTCACTGGATGACCACGAAAATCGATGAAAACGATCAAAAAAACCATTTCACCAACACGACTGTGATCACAGTGTTGCTGAAATGTGCGTATCGTCTGAAAATTAATACGATCCACAAATCATATGGGTCGATTAATAGCGTTTTTATGCATGTGTTAGACCGGAGATTTATTGATTGATGCGATAAATACAAAGTGAAAGAATTTTGCTGGTACTGAGATGCACTATTACAATGGATTTGTTAGATTAAAATATTTCAAAAAAAATCGTTCGTTGGCATCATTAGGCGTCAGCTGATATAAATTTAACCTTTGATAGTTTAATGATAGTTAATTTTGACTAATCGAGTTGAATTGTGTTTAATTGTCTTACAAATTAGATGACCTACTAAATGCATCCTTACTCTGGAAATTAAGGTATTATTCAGTTCATTTTTCGATTATATATACGACAATATGATTTTTACATAGAAAGTCACGACTATATTAACAGCATATTCCATCCTTAGGAGATCAGTAAGTTCATTAGGTTAGTATGCGTATAATAGGCTATTCGTCATGTATAAACAGTGTTTGAGCATTTTGCTTCTGAAAATTGAACATTAGCTGCCAACAATCAATATAATTAAACTCTCCTTTATCCAGTTGTTTCCCGATTATATGAAGCTTATGAATGCAAATGCGTGGAACGTCTTTTTGAGAGGTTGAAATTAGTGCACGGAATCAAAAACTTTTTCTTTCCTTTTCCTCGTATTTTCATATTCCTTCGAATAATTTTCTGTGTTTTTTATCTCCCTATTTTTTTCCACACTCTCGCTTCTTCTATTTCGTGGGCAGAAGGGAAAAGTACAGTACTCTCTAATATTTCACGCTTGTTTACATTGAGTTACAGTAATTTTAGTAATAAAATTTAGTCATAACAAAATCATAAAAAATAAAATTATAGCAAAATGTACAACAACGGCTTCAGATTTCTTTCGAATGAGTCATATGCCTTAACTTCGCATTGTAATATAAATTTAATTTACGTAACGGGGCTTAAAAAGGTACAATTTTACTTTGCGTATGCAACTCTGATGTATACAAACAAAAACTAAAATCCCATATATATTCTCGCGCCCAATAAATATCAGTTTACTCAAAAACTATGTTTGTTAGCTCTTACTGCAATTAAGAGAAATCCTTCTCTTTTGTTTTTGAATAACAATTAAACATTACACATATATATATATATATATTCGGTTATGTATAACAGTTGTACGGTTTTTTTCATTGAGTAAAACACTGGTCTTCTTATCTCATCTAATTATGTACTGAATGAATTGATCATGAGTTCCTTAATGGAGTACAGAAGTTCGTATCTATCATAAGAATGAGAGATTGAACGAAATATGTTTGTTTTTAAGTAAATTTTCATTTGAAAGTTACACATATGAGTCTCGTTAAATTAATTAATTGAAAAGTTGAGGTGAAATAAATATATACACATATTCATAGACATTTATACAAATATATAAACAATGGCTAGATATTTTTACAGTTTATTTCATTATTATTTAACCCTTCCGGTATACTTGAATTAGTATTAACCACTATCCGCATACGTATGTATTCATTTATGCATCCAAAGCCGTTGGCCAATTCACACCCTTACGTTTTAATTTTGGTATTCTGTTTTATAAAAGGTTTTAATATTAAAGTGACCAGGTGCTCGCTTGCAATGAACTTGTTCAAGTGTATAATAAAACAATTAACTGACGTAATAGATACAAGAACGCACTATTCGTTTACATCCTTCGTCAAGTAATAATTCATTTAAATTAGTTCTTAGCATTTAAGGATAATTAATAAAGATTTGCTTCTTGTAGCGAAGACGATTATAAATAGCAGTAAGAATCAACAACGGATATAGTTATCAAATAAAATTAGATCAGGTTGGAGAACAATAACAGTTGCAAGTCTATTTAAATAGATGTCACTCTTTTTACATAAATTGTTGATATAGATATGATCATTATTCTGTCAAGCAACAACAAATACTTACTTCTTTATTTTATTACGATTCCGTTGCTGGATATAAGTGATCGCATGCGTTTTGTAATAGAATTTTGTACTATATACGTGTATATGATGTTTGAACTAAGTAAGTTCTTCAGCTTCTGTTAATCTATGTGCGAAAACTAGGCACATTTTTTGCTGACTTATTATACGCAATGGACAATAATTGGCAATAACAAATAATAAGCAAAAACAGGCAATAGGCGTTAATAAGCATTAAAGGATAGCAGGCAATAACCTATAGCAGACAACAAGCGGCAAGAAATCGTAGGCAAGAAGCGATAATAAGCGGTAGGCAATAATAGGCTTTAGACCAGTCATAGCCATAAACCCATCATACATACGAAAACATATACGATAATAGCGAATAGGTATGAAAATAAACGATAATCGGCAATCGGCAATACTAAGTACCAAGCATAAGACGATGGCTAATACAGAAGACAATAAGAGATAAAAACCGATAGTAGTCAATAGATGATGATAGACAATGGACAATAGGCGCTAAGCAAGAAGCAACAGACGATAACAGCTGGTAGCATGACAGGCTTTACGGCGTGGGCTAACAAGCAACAGACTATAATTTTCACTTGATCTTAGACGATAAAAGGCAATAGATAATAAGTGCGATTAGATCATAGATCATAATCAGCAATACATGGTCGGCGGCAATCGGGAATAGAAAATAGAGGCAATATACGAGAATAGGCAGCAGTACGCAACAGCAGGCAATAGGCGAAACTAGACAATAGGCGGTAAGGGGTAGTCTATAACAGAAAATAGAATGCATAGGACAATAATAGCCGATAACTTGTAAAAGATAAGGGGTCAGCAACAGAAAATATAATCCATAATTACATAAGCGATAATTGGCAGCAATCGATAATGGACAGTATTCCATACTAGGCACTAGGTCGCAAGCAATAATAGGCAATAGATAAGAATCGGCAGTCGGCAGGACCAAATATAGGTCATCGAAGCTATAATGCCTGTAAGCGATAATCGGTAGGAGGCAATAATAAGCAATGGGCGGTAATAGGCAGCAGTAGACAGCAGTAGGTAATAGCGGCACTACACAAAAGGGGGTGGTGGCAAGGTCAATAATAGAAAATAATAGTTAGACAAATGTTAGATAAATGTAGCCTCTAGTACCCAGGGTTTCATAGACGATAATCGGCAGCAGACGATAACAGATAGTAGACAAGATCAGACGCAAACTAGAACTTTGTAACTACAATACCCCTAAGTGATAGTCAACGGAAGACATTGATAGGCAATGGACAATGGACCGTAACAGACGTTAGGCTATAATGGATCATAGGTAATAGGTGATACTAGGTATTAGGACTTGGGTGATAATTGCCAATAAACGATGAGGAGGAAACTGTGAGGATTAGGAAATAATAAGCAACAATAGGCAATAAATGATAGTTGAATCTAAAACCGGGAATTTCACTTAAGTTTACAAAACAACTAAATTGTGATCGGAGAGTATATGGGTAATGTAAGTTGCACAGCACTTTAAAATTTCTTTAATTATCCATGTCTAGTATCAGTTTCGAAAAAGAATAACATGATGAAGGGTTGTTAAGTCTTTAGGTTATTTTAAAGTTTACAATGTAAAAAATGGTTTAAATAATGGCAATAAACAGTTGTTCTTACACTCACTTAATACTAAATTAACATAACAAGCCATGTTTCAAAGTATTTTTCTAATAAAATTTTTTTGCGGGAAAATTAAAGGAAAATGAATCTAGCTGAGGCAATAATCTTCTGTGCATAATAAGCTCAAGTTATTCAGTTAATAGTTATTTTATCAGAAATGGCGTAAATAAATCTTTTTGGTGAATTCAGAGTTTTCTTTCTTTCCTTGAATGCCGTTAGGAATGTTCGTACCATCGAAATGCTAAACGTGATACGATTGCCACGTTCGCTTACACATCTAAATAGAGATGGAAAAAAGAAGTTAATTTTCCTTCAATGTGAAATCAGTTTTTTATTTTCAAATTTTTTTTTTTTTTTTATGCTAAACAGAGGTCACAAACAGCGTCAGACATAATGGAAAATCACACTTAAATCTCAGTAGTGAGACAATTATCTAATTGATATCATTTCAAAATTTGCGCACATATGTGCATGTGTATGCATGTACATGAATAAAATCATTTTGCGTTTTCAATGCAAAACACGATCACAAGCGAACGATTTACACGAGTGTAGCATGAATGTTATAGAAGCAAAAGTTGATTCTGGTGTCACATAAAATGAATATAAATCTTAATAGATCAACAACGGAAATCGTATTTGATTTTTTTTTTACTTTTTTTTTTTCTCTAAACTGAATTGAATTTAAAAAGAATTTTTTTATTATTATTTATATGCATATATACATATATATTGAATTTTCCCTTGATTACATATGTATATATTTAAAATATATAACTTACCCCAGCTTTCAACGGAACGGCCAAAATATGATTTTGTTTCAGGATCGTAAAGCATTTGTCTGAAAGAACGTTTCTTCGGTCTCTCTGGTGGACGGGCATAATAATTTTGAAATGCATCTATAGATTCTTCCGCGACGGTAGGCATTTTAAATTTTAGGAAAACAAATTTCAAACGAAAATGCTGACGGGGATAATAATCGTTGAAGCGCTGCACTCCGATCGGTAGATAGAATCACTTTTGTTCGTTCGTATGCTTATTAAATATGATATTTCAAGGCAAAGGCAAAGGCAAAGGGTATCAGGCGAATTTATAATAATGTTATGTAATTTTTTTTTCTTTTTTCTTTGGTTCCAATCTTAAGTATTTTTTCGGTCTATTTATTTATTTTTTTTTTTCTCCCTTAATGAGCGAAAAAGATTTAAGTATTTTTTTTTATTAATATTATTTTTTTATTGCAATTATTATGGCGATAGTTTGCGAAGCGCGTGTTAGTCAAGATTCTACGCTTAAACGAATGATCAGCATTCCCCGAATTCAGATCACTAAATGTGACAATTTGCACACTTTTCCATTATCACACTAAACAGATGAATGACGGGGGTGGACATGCTGAGAATGCTGCAAAGCTTATGATCGTTATTTGTCTTATTTTGTTGTTTTTTTTTTTTCGTTATTTCACTTCAGTACTATCTCAGTTACATAGGCAACATCGTCATTATTATTATTATCATCATCATCATCATCATCATCATCATTATCATCATTATTATTACTATCATCCTCGTAATCCCACATCACCAATTTAGCAGAATAGCAACAGAGAACTAACTGATGACTGCATGTAGATACACATAAACATACATGCAGGCATAAATATGAATAAGAAGTTTAGTTCTCATTGATATGTCACTTAATTAAATATAATTCCTGATTTTTCTTTTCTTTTTTTTTTCTGAAATGCCTTAAAACCCAAAGCAAGGCGACAATTGTTTGTCCTACGTACACTATGTAATTAGAAAAAGAGTTACGCGACCAGCATCCTTCCTTTTTTCTCTTTCACTCCATATTTGAAAACTAGCAACCATTAGGCATAGGCGGGATTATGTTAACGATATATTCCCAAAATATTGAAAATGAATAGTTTTCGGAAAAATATTTAAAGATCTATTGAATTATTGAACAACAAAGGTAGAGTGCACGAATAATCTCAGACTTTATGAAATCAAGTTTAAGTTTTTCAAAATTTTACATTATGACCGTCTGCGTCTACTTTTTTTTTTTTTGCTTATGATATAAGTGGCTGCAGTTATTGTTACGTTGTAGTAGTTATACCTAAGCAATTTGCTACACTAGTAATTTCCTAATTTTCTAAAGTCTACTCGATTCGGGATTGTTCTAAATCTCTTAAATACATGTCTGCAAGAAATATTACTTCCGTTGACACTGAATTATTTTATGCGACTGTTTAAAAAAAAAAAAAATATTAAAAAACAACATTTAATAGCTGTCGTCACTGCCACTGCCACATTGACACTTTATCACTTACTCTTACTTAGTAAAGATAGGTAGACGGATGAATATAGTTTCAATTGATTGGTTCGGTAAGTTTTTAAATTAAAATAATTGACAGACGAAATTTCTAAAAATAATTTTCTTCCCGAATGCTTCAGCTAATAACAAATGCCTGCACAAAGATGTCAAGGACAAAGCAGTTTCCTATTGAATATAAATTATACCTTTAAATATATCCTGACCTTTGAAATACATTTTAAACAAAGATTAGTAATTATAGACTATGTTCACACTTATGCGTAGAAAAACCAATCAAATTATTTAAAAAACATAACGAATTTTTAGGAGAGCATTAAAATCTTCAATCATCGAAATAAGTTTCTGCTATACTACACGAGGGGGCGCCAGTTTTCCCCATAAGCAAAAGCATTACTAATATTTAACATTAGCCGTTCTCTCTACCACTAGGTTGTGTTATAAATAATTTCTTTGCAAAATGAAAAATTTACGCTTTGTTATTGTTATAATTGATTAACTTTTATTGATAGTTCGTAAGATTTAACAAAAAAACAAATATTTTTCAAAAGATAAAAACAATAATTTTCTCTTATATTTCATAATTTCATTGAAACTTAATAAAGCTTTTTAAAGAGAAATTATTAAAGTTTGCACCAAAAATTATATAAAAATATAATTTTTAAATAGTTTTATTTAAAAATTAATTTATTTTGTATACTCCATGTTTTTTGTATTATTATTCCTTTTAAAACATATTTCATTTAATTTATATTTATGATATTTTATATCCACCAGCCCGAAGAATAACAATGAAGAAAATAATTCCATTTATAACGCTCACCTATATCTCTCAGGACCGTCTAATATGTTTGCAATCTTGAGCGAAATTGGATTTTAAGAAGACTTAATTATGTCTGCTTATCCTTTTTTTCGTCTCTCGACGTATGCTGGAAACGTCACGGTCGTAAAAACGAAGAAAGAAAGCAGAGACTTCGTATATTACGGTTTCCAGTTTGGATATATAATATTATATACATAACATATATGTATTACATACGTAAATGTATTAAAGTCACCCTCGTCAGTCAATGCCAGAAAATCCAGAAAAAACCGAACAAATATTAAATTAAAATGAAGTATGAACATTGGCCAGGGCCTTTTAGAAATTGAGCAAGCAAGCGGCAAAGAACTATGACTTCCCAGTGCAAATGTTTCTTTGATATAAACTAGATGTTTACTGTAAAGATAGTCCTCCTAACAATTAACTGGTAATTATGCTATTCATTCACTTGAGATTGAGTCATCCAGTGCTTGCTTGGAGTTGAATAACTTGTATTATAAAAATCTGCAACACTCTTAGCCGGAGATATTAAACTTAGCTTAGGTACCTAGAAAAGTTTCAAAAAGTGACATTTTTAGTCCCAAAAAAAAGAAAGGTTTCAAAAAGCAAAATTTCATAGTTAGGACGATCACACGTTGTCCTTTAAACTATGTTTGTTTCTTAATAGTGATTTCTAATCATAGGCGACACTATAAGAGAATATAACAAAGAAGAAAAAGAGCCGAGCGATTAAGACACAAAGAAGATGATTACAGATATCCAGGCGCACTAGTCCTCTGTCAAAGATTCTGATTAGTCGACTTTAGGATAATTTAAACTTCATTCTAAAAAAATCTAAATCTTTCCTTTAAATTAGATATTAAGCACAGGGGAGCTTGATCGTGCTTCCATCATAGGATATACGTTAAGCTTGTCTGAAACCGAAATTTCCTTAGTTTATGTTTTCTTTGTCATGAGCCCTCCGTCTGCTTCTGGAAATCACGTTTACTTGGTCCGTACTGTGCCTTTCTTTCATTCCACTTTGATTAAATTCAGCTTAGAATCGAGATAAATGGCTTTATAGTTGTACCCACAAGTTTCCAGTATGCTATAACTCGAACCTCTTCCTAATGGTTTATGTTCATCTTGATCTTTTTCTGTTAGATGTTACGTTGATTGTAGGATAGACTATGCTATAGCTTTAGCTAAGTTCAAATGTATGTTATTTTATAGTTATCCAATCTGATTGGACTAACAGTGAATGGTATGATTTGCATGCATATATGTTCTCTAATATCGGAAGCAATCTATTGAAAAAAAAAAGGTATACTAAATGGACATCAAAAGATTCGATCCGGAAAGAAAGGCTTAAGGCTTCAGATAGACCTGCCGGTCGAGCCAGCACTAATTTCTCAACCGAAAGTTGACCTGTCTGTCTATCTCATGTCCGCCAATCTATTTCTGTGCCTAACCTTCACGCAACAATTTTTCCAGTATTTTACGCAATAAAGTCTGTTTTCGCAGAAAAAATGCAGTGGAAAAGGGACCATTTTTGTGAGGATACCCCGTATTCGCTTGAGTAGCCAAATAGGCAAGAGTCTCAACTATCAAGATAGTGTTCGAATGTTCGAGTCTCAGACGTGCTAGAGTTTACTTTGGCGGCAGAGCTATATTGAGTGCTTAGTCGGTAAAGGTACGAGGCAGACACCCACCGATTGGGCTGTCATTCACTAGGCTGCCGTCAACTCGTTTCTCTCTCCCTCTCTTTCTGATCATGACCGTGTTGCATAATATGGTCGTACTAAAAAAATACATATATATTTGTATTTATATCTACATATGTATACATAACGTTTTATTTTTGACAAGACACTTGCACCTCTTAAAATGAATCGACAAAATTTGCTGAGCAATCGCACTTCGGCACGCCGTGAAAAATGTTAATCATGTGGGCCAAGTTTTTGATCTCCCCTTCATACAAAATTTTTTTTTTTACCAAAATTTTACAAAGAGTAAAAGCAAAAAGGTCTGATTATTAACGTTGTTCATGGTGAAAATTTGTCGATACGCGTCAAAGGAAATTCGACATAAACAATAATTTTAGACAAATTTAGACCACTTAGGGTTATTCAATGAATCCTCTCCTGTATAAGGACTCGGGCCATCTTTTGAACCCAAGGTGAAAGCACGGAGATGGTGCACCGACGATTCAAAACTGGAGAAAGACAAAACTGTGGCTGGGATACGTGTTCCGAGTTTTTAAAGGCCCCTTCCCATGGGATATTATCTCTCCATATTTCAAGCAGAAGCCTATGCAATCTCTTCATATGCATCGGAATGCCTAAGAAAACAATGCAGCAGATCTGCACTTACTTAAACATATAAGCCGCCATAAAAGCCATGAAAGAGTAAATAATAACATCCAGGCTTGTCTAGGAGTGCCTTCAAACATGGAATGAACTAGATAAGCACAATGACGTGTACCTAATATTGGTGCCTGGTTATTCGGAGGCTAGGGGCAACGAAAGGGCTGATTGGCTAGCAAACAGGGAGGCCCGAGCGACTATGTTAGGCCCAGAGTCTTTCGGTAGCGTACCAAGAAGTCTTATAACAGGCTGGTAGCAAAGGGATTGACTTTGGAAACAAGGTGCAAGAGAAGCAAAAAGTCATAAAATCTTCCGGCACAGCACGCCACCTATCGGCAGTAGGAAGAAGCGACCCACCCTTGGTCACAGGCTTCTACACAGGTCGTTGTCTTGTCAGGTACTGCTTGGAAAACATAAGTATCGCCGAT